ACACCGTCTCAGATTGTTTTTAGCTTTTTTGCCTGAAATAATTCACCGTTACCCAATCTAATGCCACTTTACCCAGCTCATTTACCCCAAACCAATTTCGAACCCGCTAGTTGTTATCTGAGCTGCCAAGCGGAAGCCGTCACTCGTTTATGGCCTCCAAGAGCTTGGCTTTGTTTTCGGCTACCCAAACTGACATCGATACCCCCTACTGCTTTCGAAAATAGGGCCAGAAATTCCCTCGACTCCAGAAAAATAAAAGGAAAAAAGAATTTTTGAATTTTTCAAAGGTGTCGGACGAAGGTCGTCACGCGAACCGAACCACTAGACGTCCACCGCTTCATAATACACCGTTACCGGAGAACGTCGTCACATGTGCTCAGGAAACATTGGGTAAGAAATTATAGGTATTTTTGGTCATTTTTCATTTGTAAATTTCACATATTTTCGTTTTTCACGACCATATGTTATATCCTATGGCTTTTCAGAGGAATTGGACTGGTGTTTGGACCAGCTGGAAACCATTCAAACCCATCGTTCCGTTTCCGAAATGGCTTCCAGCAAGGTTAGTGTGCCGGCTATTGTTCCCTCTCTCGTAAACCAACGTCATTGAGTTTCCGTTCCATTCGTTCCCCTAGGGATTAAAGTGAAATGCAGCAAAATGGGGCTTTGAAGCTAGACATATTTCAGCAGAAAATCTCCAGCTTTTATTGCCAAGAAGTCGTTAAAGAAAGGCCGTGCATGCGCTTTCGCTCGCTAAATTGTCTCTATTATCATAAATTCGGCTTTCGTTACACTTCAAGGCAGTAAAATTGCGTTTTCCTTATGACTATATGTTCCCATAAGAATTCCATACGAACAGGAAAGGTGTGGAAAATCCAGCCTGAAGAAGTAGCGTATTTCTCAAAAAATTCACATTTTTTTCTTTGCGAACCGAGAAAAGAACAATAAGGATTGGTGGGAAATTAAGTCTAAAAAACTGATATTTTTCTCAGAAACTTCACATAATCTGTTTTTTTTT